ATCTGACCGTTTGACCTTTCTGTTGCTCCAGAGTCCAGTCCCTGGCAAAGTGAAAGTCTTTCCTTGCCAAACAGCCTCACTGGTAAGTGGTTTTCTTAAAGCTAAACAGCTGTTTACCCCCAATCCATTTAGTTTGCTATGAGCTCTACAGTTTATTTTATGGTCTGATTGGTTTTCTGATTGATGCAGGCTTAAAATCGGACACTTCTGAAACAGACGATCATCTCTTCCACGACAACAGGAGGCAGCTTCTGAAATTGTGGTTTAAAAATACTTTTAAAAAATGTTTAAAAAGTTAGTCACTGCATCAGTCAGGGTTAACTAACCAGTTCCCACTTGAAGAATGTTAATCACTGCAGTAATTATTTAATGGAAGCCTCCCACCAATTTAAAAACAAATGATGACGTCTTGTTGGCCACCTACGTATATGTAGGTGTGTATGCATATGTATTCATATATAAGAATGTGTATATATTTTTATTTTCCTTTTCTTATTCTAACTTATTTTTATTTTTTGTTTTCTTGACAATAAAGGCATCCAATTCGAGATAAACAGGGATTGTTTTGAACTGTGAATCATATAGACTCCAGTAGATACAGAGCTGTAAATAGACATAAACGCTCATTTTAAACAGGCCCAAGTGCTTTCCACTTGCTTCATCTTCTTTGAGGAAATATTATTTTTTTGTTTTTGGAAAATGTTAAGGGAAGATTGATCCTGCAAATGCAAAGCTAATTCTAGGTCAGTGTGAAAAAACTAGAAACAATGCAGTCACACCATAAAAGAATCCAGTCAGGACAGTTTATCCCCAAGAGCTTAATGTCGTGTTAAAGGCGCGGTGACATACCACAAAGACAGGTCGTAGTTCTAAAAATATGTGTGCGATTTTTAAAAAAAGGTACAAAACAGCGATAGGCATTTACGTATTAAAACCAAAGAAATTCTTTCATATACATTTGGAGACAAACTGACAAATAAGCAAAACACAAGCTGAGCGGATGGAGCATCTTCAGTCAGGCTTCTGTCATTGATCATTAAGCCCAAAAGGAAGAATGAGCTTTTTGTTTGCCTAATGAGTTTCACTCTCATTCACTCTCACAAAGCCACCCTCTATTTCGAAAGAGGCTAAACAAAAATGTGGAGAAACAGAGGAAGGGGAGACCTCAATTACTTCTAATTAGACACAATAAATGGTGATGTGATGGCAGGCAGGCAACAAGTAAAACCCAGCCTACAAACAGTTAACGATGACTGCTTTGAAAAACACGCATGATCAAAAGGCTTTTTCTTTGGTCTGAAATGTGATATATTTTCTGGAGAGTCTATTTCACTGTAGTTCTTCCTTAGTTTTAGTAAAAGGCTATTGTTAGTGATGACGTCATGACTGTAAAAACAACGGGACAATAGCTGAACTCACCCCACCCACGAACACACACACACGAACACGCACACATACAGGACACAGGATTTTTAAGTAATCAGTTTAAAACTATTATATTTGACTTCTTTCTTAGATATCAGTAAGTTCTTGTTTTCCAGTTTTTCCCAGTGATCCATGATAGTTAGAAAGAATATTAGGTTTGGTTGTTGGCAACATTAACCTGAGCTATAGGAACCTGTAATAGGCACCTTCTATTAATGTTTCACAATGATTCAAAGAAAAATGAACCTTTAATGAAAAATAATTCATTCCAGTTTTAAGCTGATGGATCAGTCTTTGCATAAATAACTTCCTTTCTTCTCTAGAAATTGAATATATTTTGCTGGTTACACAAACCAAAGAATATGAAGAAACCTAAGTCTCCTGAGAGTGAACGGTGTTTTTCTAAAACATATTTTGCTAAATGGTGTGAACTATCTCAACAGTTAATCATTAATGAAAAGTCTTGCAGATCATTGTTCTTATCAGCTGTGGGTTATTACATAAACTGGCAGGGCTGGCAGGGCTTTGCCACTACACAGGACTCTTTAGCAATAATGGACTGTAAGTGCTTTTACAGCTCAGTGCAACTTTGTGATTGCAGAATCTAACAAATGTTATAGGTAATTAATTTATTTATGTTGTGTACTGGTTTCATTTACTATTGCTTACAATCCAAATCTCAGTGAAATAAAAGTTGAATAAAGGCTTATGAATCTCAAAATGTAATAATATTATAGATTATATTTCATGTAATATTCTAGTGAGTCATATTATATAGAAATCACACCTTGTGTTTGCATTTTTGAACTGGGGTTACTGATGTTTTGGGTTAGTTTCACTATTGACTTTCAGGAGGTTCACCTGAACTATTTAGATGAAAATGTAAAACACAGTTGTTGCACCAAGAATAGCACCCCACTATTGCATAAAGCTGAGCGTGACACACCAGCCTTTTCTCAACATTGCTACAAAACTCCAAACTCACTTCACACTGTCCATCGGTGTCCAAAAACTGGAAACTCCTTAGCCACACTCCAGGCTCCGTGTTCATGTGAACGCCCATGCACTGACTCTGCCTCAGCCAAAGCAGCCTCTTCATCCTGCCAACCCTGCTGCGGAGGCTGCGGGGTTCCCCGGCATCACTGCCTCCACACACAGGCAGGATGGTCCTCATCTTTTCGCTCTGTGCCGGTCACGCTACAGGCCCACGCACACCTCGTCAGACCTCTCCCACACCTGATGCCTCATCTGTGTCGGGGAGGAGAGCGTGAAAACAACCACCACACATTTACAGTCATTTAAAGTTTATTCCAGAGCGGCTAACACTGTAATACTGCTTAATACCTCTGATATTTTTAAAATCTATTAAACAGACCAGTGCTAAAAA